TCAAATTGTTTAAATGGGAGAATTTACAACTTAATCGCGTTATATGAAAGAACCGGGGTCATCTTTCCGAAGTCTAAATAGTGCGGGCTCTCCTAGGAACTATCACTTTATCGATAGCCACAAAAATCATTAATATCGGCCCATTAGAATAGTAAAACGAATATTGATAGCGACTAATGAACTTTCAAGGGTTCAAAATATCAAAGTACTGATTCTTAATTGAAAGGCGTTAAATAATTCAGTTCCCTGTTAAAAAATAAATTAACAAATGAATAAAACATGAGAGAAAAGTAGGCGACGTGAGATGCGGTTGATCAGCTTGGTTTCATGATTTAGCTGATTACCTGCAATTATTAGCATGAAATTCACATATTTCACAATGTTCGGAATTATTGTAAAGGTAAATTTAACAATTCTGCACTGTGTCTCGCAGCAGACATTTGGAGCACGATAAGCAGAAAGGAACCAAGCCACATCAGCTATTGCCTTTAACGGGCGATTTTATTTTTACAGGTTTTGCGGATTTGTGTGCAAATTTCAGTAAATTTCCTACATAATACGAAGCAAATTCCTTAAAATTGTTAAAATAACCCGCGACGCCCTCTCATAAAAAAATTAAATTGACTAGTTAATTTTGGCAATGGCTGATGTGACTAGGTTCCTTTCTGCTTGACGCGGTCCATTTTGCTACGCTGCCGTGCTAAGGAAGAACGTCGTATGAACCTTCAGGCGTTGCCAAATTTCACTCGATAAAACACGAATTTCCTGGTGAACTTACGAATATTTTTTATCAAATTTTTTAGCTAATTATCTTCTCAATTTCACCTAATGCTCATGAAAATTTCAAGGAAAAATATTCATAAATTTCCACAGAAATTAGTGTTTTATCGAAGGAGATTTGACCACTCTCGAATGTTCATACGGCGTTCTTGCTTAGCACGGCAGTATGATGAACCGTCGCGAAAAATGAGAAACCCTGAAAGTGCGGAGCCTCTTGGCGCGTGGGGGCGTTTCAACAGCCGGGTCGGACACGGGGGTGATTTTTGTCACTGCGGCTTACATCCCGAGATTATCCCCTTCTATTGCCACTTAGCTCGCTACAAGTAGTACAAGTGCTCGTCATGTCGTGGAGGCAAAGCAAATCATATACTTAGCTCGGCGTTAATATTGGCAGAGGCGCGTGCGGCCACACTTGATCGACAGCCGAGGCAAGAGGGATGGTCCACGTGCCCCGCTTCGAGTGGTTACAAGTCTATTCAGGGAAATCTTCGACACAATATTACAGGAAGGGGGCGTGTGTTTCGAGTGCTCATACTTTCTCCGTACTCGAGTCCGCCCCTTGGGCGGATGGGGGTAATTTTACGCCTGCATCCCGGGGATTCCACGCACGAAATTACGCGCTCGAGATATAGCGTGTTTTCTTTTTGAGGAGGATGAGATGGTGACTTTAAGGGGCTGGGGTAGGCCTGGTCTCCTGGAGTTTGAAATTTTATCATCTCCCCCCCCCCTCCCCCCCCCCTCTTGGAAATTTACAAAATTGGACCGCGTTTAGCAGAAAGGAACCAAGCCACATCAGCTAAATTGCCTTTAATCGGGCAATTTAATGCTTACAAGAGAACGTTTGTAAGGATCCCTTTGCAAATTTTTAGGAATTTGCTTCTTACCATGCAGAAAATTCACTGAGATTTGCGCGAAAATCCGCACAACCGTTTTCATGTAAAAAAATAAATTGCTCAATTAAATTTAGCAATAGCCTGATGTGGCTTAGTTCCTTTCTGCTTAACGGTCCAATTTACATAAAACCGCTTCTTTGCCGGTATGGTACATAGTTCCTTGCTTCATCCATGGTGCTATAGAAGAAATAAAAATGTTGGAAATGCTCATTGGCTGTTTTTTTTTTCTGCAGACTTAAAACTTAAGGGAAATTCAACACAAAGGAACCCAATTCTTCGGCTGATTCTGGGTTTCTCCGGTTTCAGCTTTGTTCTCTATGCGAAATTCTTCCCAAACCACGTCAATATTAACTCAAAACTTAGGTTTGTTTGTGTTTCACCTCCTACATAAACCAAAAGCAACACAAGAACACAAATATTTTCTCAATCTACCCTACTCACGAAAAAATGTATCTTGTATTTACAGAAAGCCAACATATAACAGTAAGGGCAAATTTTTGGAATTCCTTGCAATGATCTACTACTGGAACCATTGAGTTGAATTTTACTAGAGATACGTTAAAATTTTCCTTTTTATGATGCACGGGAAAAGAAAGCCGTTTGGATCTAGAGTCCAGACTCTTAAAAACATTGACAGAAAAAAATACTCTCGATTCAATCGGATTTTTGCTTGAATCAAAAGGAAATCCGTTTACATGAAGAGGCCTCGCTCTTCGCTTCAAGGAAAAATCCGATTGAATCAAGAGTATTTTTTCTTGTCAATGTTAGTTACTTTCAACTTTTTTTATTTTTTATTTTTTGTCGTCAACTTTTAAGGGGACTTTTTTTAGGATTGGGCAGGGGTGGCTACCGCCACCTAGAATTAAGAGTGTGGATCCTGGATCCAAGCGACTTTTTTTTTCCAGTGTGCTGTATATCAATGATCTTAAATCTACCTAAATTGCAATTTAAGGGGCCTTTTAAGGAAACGAGCCGTTTAAGAAACAACTACAAATTCGTCTCAAATAGCTGAAGAAGACCTCGATTGCGTCCGACACATCCAAAGTGAAGGAACTCAGCGCGGGCATAGCATGCTACGGATAAATATTGGTGCGGAGATTTGCGACATCGTTCATGTCTTCTTCGTTCACAGATACCACTCACAATGCCAGCCGTATCCCTCCCGCCCCCCATCATTTTCGCTCAAGATTTCTGAGCTCTCCCCGGCAGCCCTCCTCTCATTTCCTCCACCCCAGTCAAATTACTTTGCCGCCCCCTCTCGCCCTTAATATCCTCTCTCGTTTCACTTTTTTTCGGTATAACTCTCGCCGTTTTGACGTCGCTCTCCGTGGAAATGTCTCCTTAGCTTTCTCTCCTTCGCCGGGGCTATTTTTCACAGCCTCCGCATCTCCGTCTCTCACCCCCCCCCCCNGTCCCGCGCTTTTCCACTTTCACTCCTCCCGTTTTGTTGGCGGAACTTTGGGCTTTCGCTCGAGGAGAGGATGCAGATCCGCCGATGTTGTCATATTTCCCACCGGAGTTGTTCATTTTTGCATTTGGTTGAATAACTGAACGTATTTATGCTAAAAGGAGCTATGTGCAGAGGGTTTGCGTGGAACATAGTTCTTTTTAGCATAAACATGTCCAACTTTAATTGGAATTTTGATTTTTATCCTCGCTCGAAGAAAAATCGGATTCTTTCTCAGGTGGTTAAAAATAATAATATTCCTGTATAGTGGTTTTCGATCCACTATGGGAAAAACTCGTCACATCAAAGAATAAGCAATTCATTGCGACGAGGTACATTTTTTAACCGTGAAAACAAAAGTTCTCTTCTCACAGCAACTTAGTTGATGCGAGTAAAATCAATTATTTTTGAATTTTTAACAACTAGCCTTTAGGAGGCCTCCAAACTATGGCCACACTTCGTTTTTCCAGGTTTAAGTTTTCTTAGAATTACTTATAGAGAGAGTTTAAGACAAGAGTTAAAGACTCGTTTTGGTGCCCTTTTCTCGAATCAAACCTAAAAATTCAACAACTTTTATGACCGCATCTAATGTTGAAAAGTTTCTTGAACCAAAGAAAATTTGACCCTCGCGGTTTTTGCAAGAGCCGATACAAATAACCGATGCAAGCTCTCAAAAATTTAGCTAGAACTTAACAAACCCTCATACTTTTTCAAAAGAAGTAGAATTTAACTTGTCGCTTCTAAAATGTCTCTGCATTGCTCCCCTCTTCGAGTCGAGCGATCCTAGCGAATTCGGAAACGTCCCTTTTAAAGGCGAGTGCTTCTGCAAGTCAAGATTTAATAAAGGTTTACTGACCTATTCAACCGATGACACGTTGAACACACAGCCTTCGACAGCCGATACCTCTAGACGAAACAAAGAGGGCTTGACGAGGTATAGACAGCCAACGCGATATGCGGTGGGCCCTTGACAAATTCGGACCTCAGTTCTCACGCGGGCGCAACTAATTGCCACTCATTTCGGAATAAAGATTGAGTCAACAAACGGTAATCGAATTATTAAATTCGCGGATGGAGGGTAAGGGTCAGAGAAAGGGAGGGGGAGGGGAGGCGCCCGACCCATATCAAGAAGTGACTTAGATTTCCTGTTTCAGTCAATGCGGAAAGGTGCATTTGTTTGACTTTAAACTGACCAAAAATGTGTTTATTGGTGACTCAAAAACCACTGCTGAAACACCAAAAAATCACATTGTTTTATACTTTATGGTGTATTGATAATTACTAGAAGAATTGTAGGACTATTATTAATAATAAGGAACGTGATTCGAACTCATAGGGACGATTTTATAAAGACAATCAAGAATTATAAAACTTATTTGAACTTTGTAATTATTTTAACAATGATAGTTAAATATGAAAAAATCCATTTTTATTTATGCAATACTTTTATTTGTATTTGACTAAAACCTACAGAATTAGATATTTTATGGAAGGAGATGAATTATTAATTCTGTGCAATGATGTTCAATCAGTGCTCAGTGCTCACCCTCTCAGGCCTGAACGGTGACATTCCTTCTTCCTCTTCTCCTTTTCGTTCTTTATTATTTTGGAGGGTGAAAGTATTCAAATCATACTATCAGTCTAGGAATTTTTCTGTCTCGATTCTATATTATAATGATGATTGGCTACTAGAGAAGGGACCTCAGTTCGCTGATTTATTTTTGCAAGAAAAAAGAAAAAAAATCAATTTTTGCACAAAAAAATAAAATATTTTTTTCGATGGTTTTTATGCGCATGTTATGATGTATTACGCTGAAAATTCAATTACTTACTCAATATTTATGATTAATCTATTTTCCTTTGGGTTGAACTCTTTTCAGGTGGCGTGGTATCATGTTACAGGGGATATCCCGACCAGAGCAAGCAGGATCTTTGCTCCCACCTCATCATCATCAATCCCTAAGTCATCATCATCCTTTGGCCCCCACCTCCGGCTGGCCCGGAGGGTCTCCCGATGACTTAGCGCATAAAGGTAAATGTCATCACTATGCATCTTCCTACTCATCATCAGATATTTTAACTTTACTTAATTCTTTCGTTCTTTCCAAATACAGTTCTGAAATGTTTAAATGTGACCCTTCACGTGGAAAAACTCAAAGTCGAAAGTTCGAATCATTTTTGCCACAAGTTTTCTCATAAAAAACTTCCCTCCGTCCTCTAGAAAAAGCACCTTTTCCTCCGGACAGGGACGAATTGAAATTTTCACAAATTTAAAAATCTTAAAATTCCTCATAAATTTCCCTTAAATCTATCTCAAATAAATCTATAACCGGGCGCACTCGGGCGTGTTAATAAGACATTAGCCTGTTCGGGTAAGAAGAATGAGGGGGGTAGGGGAGAGAGGAGAGGGGGGACAGGGGAGAATCCGTCCCCCTTCTTTGAATTGCGGATGACGCCTTGATGACGGGAGCTGCGAGGCGTGGGTGGTGAAGTTAAATCTCGGATGAAAATCACCGCGCGCGGAATTTGACAGCTTCATTATATACCGAAATTTAAAGTCGCACCCGGAAATAAATCAAATCAAAGTCGTGGCTGCCGAAAAGACACGCGTTTGTTTCAACTCACAATCAGCTTACATAGCATGTTATTCACGCGTGTCCTCTAGTGTTAATCAGAAAATGCGTGATTATTGAGGTATGTGTATCGATAGAAAAACGCCTTTAAATATAAACCCAGGAATTACAGCTCAAGGAATTTTTGGAAATTTCTCCGTCTCCACGCAGGGATGGTAGTTTCCCGATTTTATTTTCTAAGCGCTGTAGAAGTTACTGTTATCGAGGGATGAGAACAGTTGGTAAAATTATGGGGAACAAAGTGATGCGGTTACAGAAGACCATTTTAATAATTAAAATTAACGATTATTGGTGTAGTAACAGAGACAATTTTGGTAATTTTACTGGGCGGTAATTTTTTTTTTTTTCTCATTTTGGGTTACGATCGGAAGGAGCAACAAGTCTTCTCCTACCCTCATTTATAAAAAATTATTTTTTTAAAAAGAAAAAAATGGAATAGTTTAGTTGATAGTTTTCTGATTGTGGGAGAAAACTCACTGCGTAAAGGAAACGCCTTATCGCGCCAGGTAAAACTGAACTTGTGACGACGAGAATTTCTTTTTTGATATGGAATATTTGCATTTCTGGTTTTGAAAAAAAAAATCAACAATCAACAATTTTTCATTACGGGCAAGTCGATCTTTATTGTCGCAACTTAAGTCGCTACTTGGCGCGATGAGGTTCTTCCTTAACGCAATGAGTCAGCATAGGAAAAAACTGTCGAAAAGACAATTTTTTTCTGTGATGAATCCAGTTTTTTCGTTACCTCACTGTGTATACGAGTAAGGACTGAAGTAAACTCCCTCTTTGACGTTGACATTACAGCCCGTTCCAAAACCATACTCTTCGAGAGGGTAAGAAATAATTTTAATAAATCGATCGATATTTTTATAAACAGTAAAAGTTGTTGTATTAAAACTTTTGATAAGAAATAATACTACTAGGATATAAATGGAGGCAAAACAGGGTTACCACCTTCCAATTATCGCCACTAGTTCAAAGTGGCTGATATCTATATTGCACGCGGAACGAACAGCCAGGAACGGCAAATCAGTGTTAAAGCTGACCGGGTCGGCGCTCGTCAAAGGCACCAAACTAAGGCCGAGAGGGACGAATTAGGAGGATAATAGGCTCGAGGAGATGTCAACTAAATGAAGCATGATAATATAATTTTGAGATTAATAAAATGCAGCGGCGAAAGCCTCACAAAAGGAGTAGCAAAGTAGCGAACCATATTCTAGTAAATATATCGCTTTCACGGGCCGCTATCCCCCCGGGAGCGGCCCGATGAATGGGCCAAAGATGCAGCAGCGCTGCCAAATTTCTCAAAAAATTCAGATTTTTCACCTCGAACATAGTGCGAAAATTGGACGGTGTGGCAACTGGGGGGCGGTGAACTCCAGATCCAGAGGGATTCTGGCGTTGTTCTCGTGGAGCGCGCAAACATGCAGACAATAGCGGCACAGGTGTAGCCGGCCCTGTCAAAACTCATCAGGTATTTTCACAGGATGACCTTTGAGGGCGAAAGGAGGCCTTTGAGGCCACTTTCGGCCGGCTCGGAGAGCGGTCCGTTTGTCGCTTGTTTGTTGGCCAGTTGACCGCAAATAGGCCACGCGAGTCCTTGGAATCGTGGAGAACTATCAAAAAGTAGTCAGCTTACGTGCTTTTTGTTTGATGAGTCTCCCTGCCTGAAAATTGGTTTTTTTGTGCCTCGATGATTGGTTTTACGATGTTTGTGGGATTGATGCTGATTTTCTGACCTAACAATGATGATATGTCATTCGATTGTAAACATTTAGATCAGTGTTTCCCTCAGAGATATGACTTAGAATCAAAATTATAAAATAGTTTAGAGTCAATTTAGAAGCTGCAAATATTCTCGTGCTCAGTTCATTCAGTAGTTTTGCTTAAACATGAAATTCAGAAAATTTCAGACATTAGTAAAATCGTCCTCGTTTAAAACAAATGATACTAAAATCGCTTTTTTAGATGAATCGGTTAGTTCCTTTAAATTAGATCGATCGAATTCGGAAAGAAACTTGATTTAAAAATGAACCGATCATTTTCCAAATCACGTAAACACCAATCTCTAGTTTTTTTGGCGGAGGGGTTGTTTTTTCTTCGTTTTCTCTGATATAATTGATCATGTCGATTTCAAAAAAGCCTTCTAAAAGAACATAGAGATTTTGCAAGGGTCTGGAATTTGATGAATTTCGTATTTAATTGAAGTCTACTGAGTGAACTGAACACGAAGATACCCTTGATTCATAAATTGAGCGATTATTAGAGAAGATATGACAAAATAACCGATTTCGCTAAAATATATGTGTTTAAACAGAAAATGCCGCCAGATTACGTTACAAGGCGGCACATTTTTTCACTTTTGAATCAATTTTTTTCTAATTTCCCATATCAGAAAAAAATAATGAAAAATACTGCGAACTCAGCTCATTAGGCACTTTCAGATGAAGCAATAAAATTTGCATGCAAATTCTCCATTCGAAGATTGTCAACGAAGCGAATAAAACTGTTTTTCTTGTTTTTCTCGCATTTGCAAATTTGGCGCTTACGTGATTTGGACAAGAATCTGTTCCAATTCGGGCGTTCCTGCTCTTTTCGGCAACAGAAGAGCATAGAATCCTTGAGAAATCCCTTGTTAGGGCCTTTGGCCGACGCGACATGACAGACCACTCGGCACCGGTGGCATATGATGAACGACCGCAGGGGAGGGCGGGGGGATGTTTCCTAGGGATTAGGCTTGTTCACATCCCGATCCCGATGGGTATCTCGGGGATCCCGGCTCGGCGAATGAATGGGACACCGACGGCACCCTGCCAGGGTCCCCCGACCCCGGCCCCGCTCGCTTGCTCGGTCAGCGATGTTTATCAAAATGTTTCCAACCTATTATTCGCCACCTATTCAACTCGAGATCTCATTAGAGCCGGCCTTCGCCCCCCCCCCCCCCCCCCCCCNNNTCAGCGAGCAGCCGCGGTCCCTTCGTCTTCGGGCCCACTGGGTGCTCTGCACGGGTAAGACGAAAACAAATCGCGAGGGGCTCTGGAAAATTTTCTTCAAGACTGACTAATTCAATATGTGCACATGAAAATTTGATAAGACGAAAGTTAGTTAGAAGCTTTTTCACGACCTCTCTGAACTTTTAAGCAGAAAAATCAGGAGGCTTTGCTGCACTAATGGTGGGTCAAATTCTGCCGTGCTAAGGAAAAACGCCGTATGAACATTCGAGAGTTGCCAAATTCCTTTCGATATAACGTGTATTTTCCAGGAAAATTATGGATATTTTTCCTTGAAATTTTCAGGGACTTTGGGTGAAATTGCAAACAGAATTATTTGAAAAAATTGGAGGGAAAATATTCATGAGTTTACCAGGAAATTCGTGTTTTTTCAAAGGAAATTTTGCAACGCTTGAAGGTTCATACGGCGTTTTTCCTTAGCACGGAAGAATTGGAGTACCTATATAGGGAGAGTACGGACATGCCGGCACCGGCGTGGCGTGAATTGCGATGTATCGATTGTTATGTCATTTAAACTTATGGTAAAGAATCGATTATTCAGGTGTTCGCTGCGAACACCCTGTTTATCGATCCTTTTCCATAGGTTTAAATTGCATAATAATCGATACATCGCAATTCACGCCACGCCACTGCATGTCGGTAATTTTGAGGTCATGGAGCTTTTAGGGCCAAAAAGGGCAGAAAGGCGACTTTTTACATGAAATTGCTGCAAAATTAGTTACGAACGCGAAGTTACCCCTTGATAATCGTGATTTATGTTCTTCCTTAAAATTCACTTTCGAGGATAATCACGTTTCATTCCGCACCGATTGTACTTCAAAATTGTTCAAATTTTTTCACCATCGACACAAATCGAACAAAATCGCCGACAACTCATTCCTGGGATACTAGCGAGCGTAATCCATCTGAAATTCAAACTCCAGTTATTTTACCCATGCAACTTGATAAAAGTTGCTCCTCGGCAAGCAATGTCTCTTCGAAAAATGACCCTTCCTCCGTGAGCGGTCACATACTGATGCTTTTTCTATACGCACGATTACCCAGCTTCTTGGGCACCCTGTATCAGAAGTCTTTCCTTGCGATATGCATCGCATTGTTGATGCCTGCTTTACATGGTTTTTTGAAAGGGCTGCCGTGCATCGGAACAGACCAGATTGCCCAATTCCTCAGCTACTCTGACCCTCATCATAACACAAAGATTTGCCATGTAAATGGGTGTTTAGCTCATACTTCGTGTTTGATATCCGAATCTCTCGTGACACCTGGCCGTCAAAACAGGTCACCGGCTTACCCGGACGATGATTAGGTAAATCTGCGCCAATTATAACCTGCGATCGGCGAATATTATAGAGGGGGGTGTAGTATTCAGTTGCCGAGGTGGGATTATA